TGCTTTTATCCCTGGCTCCTGCACCTGCAACACCTTCAAACCTGACAGCTAAGTGGAGCATCCAAATCTGGGGAACCCCACCCCACAGTCAGAGATCCCGTAGGCAAGCTCCATGTGCCTCAGGAGGGCCTGACAAAGCCGGGACCAGCACTGTTCTCACCATCAACCCGACAAAGCCCTGGCCTGAGACCTCAGGGTGTGGGCTGGTTCCCTCCACATGCCTAGGTTGCCATAGGACCAGAAGAGCCTGGGTCTGGCCAGCTCCCTGCCCACTTCTCCAGCAGCACCACAGTCCATGCCTGTCTGGGAAGTGCAGGCCACCCAGAAAAAAGTCCTTCATCTCTGAGGTATGAGCCCCAAGGACCTGTCCCTGGACCTGGCCTGCCTCAGATCTGGAGGTGCCCACCTACCTCCCTCTTCCTCTCTCACCCAGTTTGGGGCACCCAAGAGATGGGAAAGCAATGATCCCAGGGGATGGGCAGGCCGTGACCCAGGGGGTAGGAAGGCATTGACCCTAGGAAATGGGCAGTCGGGGATCCCTGGAGATAGGCACTCATGGGCCCCAGGGGATGGGAAGGTAATGACCAAGAGGATGGGCAGGCAGTGATCAGGAGGTAGACAGACAGTGACCCAGGGGGTGGACAGACAGTGACCCAAGGAGTGGACAGTGATCCAGGGGATGGACAGACAGTGACCCCAGGGGATGGGCAGGTAGGGACCCTGGGAATCAGTAGCTCCATGAAGTTCTAACATGTAGCTTGCAGCCATGGGATCTGGGTTCAAGTCCTGACCCCAGCACATCCCACCTTGAGCTGGGGGTAGTTACTTGACCTCTCAGAGCCTCAGTTTTCCCATCTGAAAAGTGGGCTTCTTGCCCTGTGGTCAGGAGCAGGTCTTCAGAAAACAAGAGTCATGTTATGAAAAACACTGGTCACATGACTGCACCCCTGCCTGTGGCTCAGTCCCCCCTTAGCTACGTCTGGAACTCCGAGCCCCAATCCAGCCTGGACTTGGGGGCCCCTCCCAGGTTTTCACATCTAGGCACTGCCACTGTCACAAGCCACCCAGAGAGTAGCTTCCACTTGCTGGGCTCTCAGGAAAGTCCCTGCCCAGGCAGGTCTGCAAAACGGGTTTGGGGAGCCCACACCCCAGCAGGCCCTGCCTAGTGAGTTCCACCCAGCTCCCCGGCTCTGCTCCAGGCCCTACCAGGCCTCAGGCTCAGTGGTCCGCTGTTTGCAGCTGTCCCCTCACTGGCTGCCCCATGTCTGAGCCTAGCGCTGCCCTGCCCTCTGACCCCTGGCTAGAGAGTGAGACCCAGCTGGCTGTCAGCATTTTCTTCCTCATTCTTAGCCTGCTGCAGATGGAGTGGATGGTGGGGTCACTTTGCTATCTGGCCTGCTCACCTTGCAGGACGCCACTGGCATGGGGCAGGCATCTGGGGTCCAGGTCAGACCTACCCTGGAGTGAGCCTGGGAGCAGACCCTTCAGTGCAAACTGGATGCATCCCCTCCCTCAGAAGCAGGGGTCTGCTGGCAGGGAGGTGCCTTGAGGCAGCGACTCCAGGGACTCCACACTACCTGAACAGTGGACCCTTGGGGGCACACATGCAAGCCAAGCTTAGGGGCATCAGCTCAGGGTTCATGCCACGGAGGTGAGCTTCGCCTCTTAGTCCGAACACGGCATGTCCTGGCAGAGTAGACCAGTGCCGGCGTGGATCACTGCACACCGGCTGTGGTCCAGAGTGTGAACTCCAGTGAGTAGGGCTCCTAGCTGTGAAGGGGGCTGGCAGAGCCCAGGACAGGGATCCAACAAGCAGGCAGAGTCCCTGGGGACATAGCGGGTGGGACAGTTGTCACAGGAGCACAGGGAGGCGAGGCACTGGGCATCCACACTCCCCACCCACTCACACTCACATTCACTACGTTCCATTCACACTCACACCTGGTTCACGCTCAAACACTCCCTTCCATTCATACACACACACACACACACACACTCCACAAACACGTCCTCACACGCACCCTCACGTCGCTGTCCGTGTGGGCACGTTCTGTTCTTAGGTGTCATTTCCTCCCCCGCTCCGTCCTCACAGCTCTGCTGTGCTCAAGCCATCGCCACAGTCCCAGTGTCGCACCAAGACCATCGTCCTCGTCACTAATGCTGGACTCTGCCCAGCATGATGTCCTTCTCCAGGGCCTCAGCCCTCCGAGAACACATCCAAAGCAGTGCCAGAGTCCCACCACACTCACATCTAAGGAGCCCCTGACTGACTCCTTCCAACAGATTGATTCGCTCTTCTGAAGTCTGCGACACATTCGGTGTTCCTTGCCAATGCCGTTACCACCATGTCCAAAAGCACTGGTTCTTTTCTGGTCTTCTTTTCTCGCCGTCTGGCTTTTACATGTGCATGAGGTGACTGGAAACGTGGTTTAGCCAGGTGCTCCTGAGGCCTTACCTGAAAGTCCCGACCTTCTCACCCGTTGATGAGCTCTTTGTCAGCAGATTTGCCTGGTGAAATAAGCCTTTTGGTTTCTTACTTCCTCCTATGGTGTTGATCATGGACTCAAGTAAAAGGAAATCGCTGTCAATGTCTAGTGTTTCTCCATCTACCAGATGTTGCTGACTGATGCGGTTGCTGAGTTTTCACTATCTTTATGTTGAGGGGTTACCCAGACTAAAGGCTTTAATCTTTATTAGTAAGTGTTCCAATTCTTCTTCATTCTCAACAAACAAGGCTGTGCCATCCACATATTACAGGTTGTTGTTAATGAGTTCCCCTCCAATTCTGCTCCTCGTTCTTCTTCGTATAGTCCACATTATTAGATCATTTACTTGACATACAGATTAAATAAGTATGGTGAAAGGATACATCTCCAACACACACCTTTCCTGATTTTTAACCCTTGTTTAACTGAATTGATTCTTGGTCTGTGTATAAAGTTCCACAGAAGCACACTTAAGTATTGCAGGATTCCATTTTTCTCCATATTATCCATAATTTGTTATTATTCACACAGTCAAATGCCTTTGTATAGCCAATAAAACTCAGGTAAACACCTTTCTGGTATTTTCTGCTTTCAGCCAAGATTCATCTGATATTAGCAATGATACTTCTCATTCCATGACATCTGGATTTAGCCTGGCTTTCTGGCAATTCCCTACAGATAACACGTTTCAACCATTTTTAATAATCTTCAGCACAATTTTACTTGCATGTGATATTGATGATACTGTCTGGTCATTTCTTGTTGCTTCTGTTGGTTGCCTTTCTTTGTAAGGGGCATAAACATGAGTATCTTCCAATCAATCAATCAGCTAGGTGTCTGCCTTCCAAATTTCTTTGTATCCATTTGTTAAAACATTTCCCTTGGTGCTCCATCATTTCCTGAGCACTTTTTATTGCCAGTGCCTTCTGTGTCACCTAGATTCCTCCCGTACCACTGGCTCTTGATCCTATGCTACTTCTTGAGATGGTTCCGTGCCAACGAATTCCTTTTTGGTTGAGTGACTGAGTTCCTTCCATCTTCTCTCAACACTTACTACATCGTTCAGTATTTTGCCCATTGAATCCTTCAGGACAGCAACTTGAGGCTTGATTTTATTTTTTCTTCATTTCTTTCAGCTTCAGGTTTGGGCACGGGGGGGAAGGCCATGTGCTTCTTCCTTTTTGGTTTCCCAACTCCAAGTCTTTGTGGATTTCATTGTAATGCTTGACTTTGTCATTTCAGGCAGCTCTTTGAAATCTTCTGCCCAGGTCCTTTAACTTCATCATTTCTTCTGCTCACTTTTGCTACTTACATTCAAGGGCAAGTTTCAGAGTCTCTTCTGAGACACTTACAGCCCTTTCTGTCTTTGCAATGACCTGTTGCTTTCTTCCTGTGTGGTACTCTTGATGCTACTTCACAGCTTATCTGGCCTTTAGTCAATACTATTCAATGCATCAAGTCTGTTCTTGATTGTTCTCTAAGTTCAGGGGACATGTTCAATGTTATACTTTTGCTCTCACGGGCTTGTTGTCATTTTCTTCATCTTCAACTTGAACTTGCATAGGAGCAGTTTATGGTCTGTTCCACAGTGGCCCCTAACCTTGTTCTGACAGAGTACATTGAGCTTTGCCATCATCTCTTTCCATAGATTTGGCCGATTTGATTGCTGTGTAGCCCATCTGACCAGGTCCACGTGTATAGTCACTATTTATGTTTTTTAAAGAAGGTATTTGTAATGAATTAGTCATTGTTCTTGCCATATGTTATCATGCAATCTCTAGTATGTAGACATTAGTGTGTATGTACCTATCCATGTGTGTAAATTAATCTACCCACCTGTGTCTTCATGTTTGTCTGTGTGTGCATGTCCGTGTGCTGCGTCTGTCTTCAAATGCATATCTGTGCTGTGTGTACATGCCCATATATTAGGAGTCTGTGTATATCTGTGTCTGTGTGCACCCACATGTGTCTATCCATGTGTATATGCCATGTATCTGCATGCGTACAGTGTGCTCAGTGTCTGTGCATGTACACGTGTGTCTACATGTCTGTGTGCTGAGCATGTGTATCTGTGCATGCATGTCTGTGTGCTGTGTATACACGTGTGTGCATGTGCTAGGTGTCTCTGTGTTTACATGTGCATGTGTCTATGTAGACCCATGTTTATGTACTGTGTATCCCTGTGTGCACATGTCAGTGTGCTCTGTGTGTATGTGTGCAAAGGTATGTGTCCCTTAAAGGACAAAAGCTAGACAGAGCCTCAGGTATAGATCTGACCAGGTGGGGTAGGATGAGCAGTTCACAGGAGGGGTACACAGGAGCTCTGAAATGGACCAGGTCCTTCAGCCCCTAATATATATTGTGGAGAGTGGCCCCCTGACATGGCTGCGGGGTTACTAACCACATCCGGCCTCTTCATAAGTCAAGGTGGTCGTTCTCCCAACTTCCCCCCGGCAGGCTGGAGACAGAGAGGACGTAGAGGCCCTAGTGTGCAGGGTCAGGCCTAGGGGTACCATGGAGAGCTTTCTGGAGTCACTGAGCAGGCTGAAGGACGTCCACGAGAAGGAGGTCATGGGTAAGTGAGCTGGGCAGTGGCCCCTGGGCAAGACCTCACCACAGGCTTCCCATCACATGACCTAATGGAGCCTTAAGGCCAGGCTAGGGAGCGCCTACCTGCCACCTCAGCTGTCACCAGCCTAGGAGCCCAAGAAAGGGTGTCCTGGCCCAGCCACAGAGCTGCATGTGGTTTGGTCCTGGCAGCCATGGAATTGCAGGGTGGAGAGTCATGTCAGGAATGCCGAGGGCACCTGCTGCCACCAGCACCCAGACTAGTTCACATCCCATTTCCAGCCAGAACTCACTTTCCGGGGGAGACCTGGGCATCTCCCAGAAGTGAGCACACCCTAGGAGTGGCACCCACAGGGTTGAAATCCCCCCCAGAGACTTCCCTCCAAAATGAGCTGGTCCCCAGCCCCTAACCAGTGAGTGACTCACTCACTGCTCCAGCTCCAGTCCCCGCCGAGACCCTCCAGGAGACACATTCCAATCAACACTAACAAAACCCAAAGGCCTGGGACATTCCTGGAGTAACTGAATATGTGGGGCTGCTGACCGACACTGGCCTGCCTCAGGTCCTGGACACACAGGACCCATGTGGCAAAGTGGCAGATCACTTCCAGCATCATGGTCCCTGCCAGCCTCCCTACAGATGTCACAAAGCCCCACACCCCAGGAGGAGGGAACACTCCACCAGACCCCAGGTGCAGAGTTTGAGTATCCACCAACTGGCCAGGCAGGGACCCTCAAGCAGGGCCACCCCCAGACTCCTTCAGAGGCTGAAAGGATCCAGCAACAGACAGTCAAGGATCCAGAGACCCCCAAGGGGGAGTTGCTAACCTGTCTGGCCTGGCCCTCAGCCTCTCTCCCCTTCCCACTAGGCCTGCAGAAGAAGCTTCTGGAACTCAACTCAGAGAAGTACCGGTAAGTGAGAAGGCCAGGCCAGGCCATAGCAGTAGGGAGGGGACAGCAGCCGCTCAAAAGCCGAGGCTGCCACCCTCCAGGGTGCTGGTGTTGTCAGGACCCCAAGATGCAAATGGGGAAACTGAGAATGAGAAGAATGAGTGGATTGCAGTCCATGCACGTAGGGAGGAGGTGGTGGACTGGGATGTGAGCCCACCATGAGGCAGAGACCCCCAAGGGGCAGCCCCTCCCCACAGGGCACTTTGGGCAAGAATGTGATTAGGGACAGACAAGGGCCTGGATAGGGCTGTCCTCACATCCCACATAGGATACGCTGTTCTTCTGCCCTGAGTTCTCTCCCATCACTAGGGACACACGGACAAGTCAATCAGGAAGCAGCGGGTGCAGGGAGTGGGGGAGGGCATGGCGGAGCTGTCCCAGCAGGACATCCTGGGGGAAAAGAACTCGCCTTCTTGCCATCACAGGGATGCCCAGAGGATGGAGGAGCTATTTGCCAAGAATCACCAGCTCAGGGAACAGCAGAAGGCACTGAAGGAAAACGTGCGGGCGCTGGAGAACAGGTGAGGGGTGGGGAGAAAGGAGGCGAGGGGGGGGGGGGGGGGGGGGGGGGGGGGGGGGGGGGGGGGGGGGGGGGGGGGGGGGGGGGGGGGGGGGGGGGGGGGAGGAGGCGGGGAAGGGAAAGGGGGTGAAGGGAAAGGGGGTGAGAGGAGGCGAGGGGCGGGGAGAGCAGGTGAGCCGAATGTAGGGGGTGCCAAAGGGTTCCTCAGCCACTGTGTTGGGAAACTGGGGTGGGCCCATGCAGTCCTAAGCAGACTGCACTCTTGGAACTCCTTCCCAAATTAACTACGCGGGGAACTTACCCGAGGAGTTGGGACGGGGTTCCAAGGTACATAGTTTGGGTAAGAGGCAGGAGCACCTTGAGAGACGTGATGGGAGGCAGCGGACAGCGCCTGAGCCCGGCCCTTCCTGCATCCCCAGGCTGCGGGCCGGCCTGTGTGACCGCTGCATGGTGACCCAGGAGCTGGCCAGGAAAAGGCAACACGAGTTCCAGAGCTCACACCTGCAAAGCCTGCAACACATCTTCCTCCTGAGTGAGCCCCCCCCCAGCATCCTGAGCCCACACCCCCAGCGTCCTGAGACCACACCCCCAGTGTCCTGAGACCCCCCACCCCCAGCGTCCTGATCCCACACCCCCAGAGTCTTGAGCCCCCCCCCCCAGCGTCCTGAGACCCCCACCCCACACCTGCCTGAGCTTCCCCATGGCCTACTGAACTCCCACACAGCATACCAAGCCCCCACCCCACAGTGTCCTGAGCCCACATACACAGTGTACCAAGTCCCCCCCAGCATACCTAGCTGTTCACAGTGTCGTGAGCCCACCACAGCATCCTGATCCCCCCACCCCACAGCATCCTGTGTGACGTTGAGTGTCCTGAGCCCCCTTTGCCCACAGTGTCCTGTCCAGGGTTGGGGTACTAGGTGTCTTGAGTGTCCTTGAATCATAATCAGAGTTGGGGGTACTGAGTGTGCCATATTTGCCCCCATGTTGGGAAACTGACAGAAGACCACCACCCCAAGCCACCGGGAGGGAACAACACTCTCCATTACACAGGGGAGAAGACTCATGCCCAGGGCCCATAGGTAGCACAAGACCCTAGCTGGCCCTTCCCCCACAGTCAACACCTGATGTGCGCGTTCCTATCCTCCCCAGACCTCAGTATCCTCCTGACACAAGGGACAAGGTCCCTGAACCCTGCCCCCCCAGCAAGGTCAGAACCCCAGGGAGGAGTCTCCAGATCCCAGAGTCTCTCAGGAGGCACCAGCTACAGCCAGGGCCTGGTCAAGTATTGGGTTATCACTGAGGACAAGACCAGGAGGGGACAGTTCTGGGTTGGGGGGAACCCCTCCACCCTCTTCCTGAACCGTCCCTGAGCCACGGTGCTAACAGGACACTTGTGATTCCACAGCCAACGAGATGAGCAGGCTGAGGGAGGAGAACGAGAGCCTGAAGAAGGAGGTGAAGCTGCTTCGGGGCCTGGAGTGAGTGGGGAAGGGGCTGCTGTGACACTCTACTTCCCCACAGCCCCCCACAGCATGTGTGGTGCATGGGTAGGGGGACCAGGGCACCAGGCGCAGCAGGGAAGACAAAGGGACCTCCAGGTCACCTCCCCAGAGGAGTGGATGAGCTGCAGTCTCACGGATGCTGCAAATATAATGGGTCCCAAGCACCTTGCAGCTCTGGTCCTCAAGGTTCTGCTGGAGTTCGAGAACCTCAATGGTTTTGCCGAGTTCTGGGCACCTGCAATGGGGGTACTGATTCTGATCGAGTGTAGAATCTCCCCAAAGTCCCCTTCAATGATGTCCCCTAGAAGAGTGCATTCAAGGGCCACACACTTCCCCTCCTCATTTCTCCATCATTGTCTCCCTTCCAGAGACAGGCCCAAGCCCCTGAATAGGGAGGGCACAGAGGTCACCACTTCACCTCTGCTGTCCCCGGCCAGTTGGAAAGTCCCGGGAGGCCACGAGGGGCCTGAGGCTGAGAACAGCAGCATGGAGTCACGAGAAGGTGTGTGCGCTATAGGGATTCCCTGGGGTCTCGTCAGGGTCAGAGCCCCCAAGCAGTGCCCAATCTCCCCTGCCCACCACCTCTCGCATACAGAGCAACTGCTGGGGTACCAGACGCCTCCTGCCACCAGAATCTCCCCAGAAACCACTAGCCTACCTGAGCTGAAGGCTTCAGACATGGTGAGTGGTACCCAGGTAGGGTGCTGGCACCAGCCTCCCAGCAGATGTGGAATTATTGACCCTGGGCGGCCAGCCACGGCCTATGGGCATCAGGGGGAGAGGATAGCCCCTCCTGCTGCTGTTCACCCTGGACACAATATTAGGTGCTTTGGCCAGCCCCCACTTCTGCTGACTTGTCCACCCTGCCCATGGCCTTCCCTCTCCCAACTCTGCTGACCCATCTGCCCCACAGAGTCCCCAGCACATCTCCAACCAGCTCCATGGGACCATCGCCGTGGTGCGTCCGGGGTCCCGAGCGTGCTCCACCGACCGTGGTTCCACCAATGGGACACCGCCGCTGGTTGGCAAGAGCAGCCCCTCCAGCCCTCCCTATGAAACCAGCCTCCCCCTGGACAGGTGAGGGCTCCACCCACCAACACCACTTGGGGGGGCTCACCTGAAGTCCCATTTTAGACTTTGTTCCCCCCACTCATAGTCCCTCTGATGATTCCTCCTGGGGCCTCCATAGCTCAGTTTTCCCCAGGCACCTGCTTGGGGCAAAGCTCCCCCTGCACACACCTCCTGGGTGCCTTGGTCTGAGGGGAAGAGGTAGTAATTGGGGCCCAATCCTTGGGCCTCCGTCTCAGAAGGGTCATTGGGAAGCTCTCTCACTATCTGAGCCCTAGGATTTCAGGGGTCCATGTCTGAGAAGAATACAGGGACTGTGTGGGAGGAGGGAGGCACAGGTACTCAGGGGGACATGATCCAGCTAGAAACCCAGGGGACCATGGTCTCCAGGCCATCCTCAATGTCCTGCAGTCAGATCCAAGCTGCCCACGTGGCATGGCCTCTGGGGCCTTGGGCCTCTGTTTCCCCAACTGTGAAAGGGGGGCTGTGGTTTCTGTCCTGGGCCTGCTCCATTGTGACTGGGTGCCACGGCCCTACCCTCTCTCTTGCAGTCTCCTGCGGACCTCCCGACCCTCTGTCCTGGCCTTTGAAGCCCTAAAGAGCTCCCTACAGGCTGACCGCCTCAGCCTCTTAAGCCGTCACCTGGCCCTGCACCTCCGAAGTCCCCGTAACAGCCCCCTGGCCCCCACCACGGCCCCCGGGGGGGCTCAGCCAAAGATTCTGAAAGTCATGGAGTCAGAGAGCTGGGAGGAGCCCACTGGCCTGCTGGGCCTGCCAGGGGCCCTGGACTCAAGAGACCCACAGTTAGAGGGCACGCTGCACCTGCTGCTGGCCCAGCAACAGCTGCGGGCTCGGGCAGCCAGTGTCAGATCAGGGGGCCTACCTGGGCCGGGGGGCACTCTGCCCTCCCCACCTGCCGGCTCTGATTCTGAGAGCCCTGAGGGATTACAGTCAGCTGGAGCAGCACTGGCCAGAGGCGCCTGGCATGGAGACCGGTGCCCACGGCCGCCAGATCTAGACAGCCTCAGGGAGGAAGAGGCTGCAGTGGTTCAAGCATACACTCCAGACACACCCCTGGACCTCTCAAAGCCCACCCACCATTGTGGATTGCCCAGGCCAAAGGCTGGTTCTTGCAGCCCGGAGTCACCTCGGAGAGCCACACTACCTGCTCAGTCATCACCCCGGATCCCCAGTCCCTGGACACTCAGCAGTGGCCCCAAAGGAGCCAGAGCACTGGAGCTGGAGTCCTCCACACCCCAGGTAAGGGCCTGGTTCTGGCCCAAGGCTTCATCCTCAGGACTGCACCGAGTTAGGGTCTCCAGGTACCTGCCGCTCCCTCCCAAGCCAGTCCCCCTGAAGAAAGGCCAGCGAGCCTAATGCAATCAGAGAGGAAATGGACCCAGGCTGTATCCAGGCCTGGGGCACAGGGACAGCCCCCAAATGAACCCAAATCTCTTAGCTCTCCCAGGGCCCCCCACCGCCTCTCCCCTGGCACCACCCTGGTCTGGACTGTCTCGGTGGGCTGAGGAATGAGCCTGGAGGGAAAACTGGACAGCTGACTGGAGCACAGAGACCTGAAGTTGATGGTCACATGGGTAAGCCTGAGCCCTGCCGGGATGGACACCACGCTGGGGAGAGGTGGCCAGGGTGCTCAGAGTCCAGCTCAACCTGTCTGTATGACCAGTGCAACTCTGCGCCTGGGTTTCCCACTTGAAGAGCCAGAAATGGAGTTGAGGGCCCAAGCTGTCACTCCTCCGACCACACGCGGTAGAGTCACTTAGTGATCAAGGCCTCAGCCTGGTAGTGAGCTCCATCTTGCTGTAGTGAAACAGCCAAAGTGGCCCCACCTGGTGGGTCATCAGGGTCCAAATCCCGGCACTGCCTCGGATCAGCTGGGTATCCTGTGCTCCCCTCTCGAGCGCCTTCGTCCTCCACGGGGTCACCACCCCCCAGCCTGACTCGCACTCTATGTCCTGCAGAGGCCAGCCAGGCAGAGGCGCAGAGGGCAGACTCAGACGGATTGGATGAACCAGACACTTCGGACAGTGAGGTGGGTCGTGACCCAAACCCACGTGTCCACGTCCACCAGACCGTCGCGCAGATCACCCCGAGGTGGGAGTTCCGCATCCTCACTGCATGACCTTGTGCCCAGAAGGCCCTGAGTTCCGAGGTGGGAGGCAAGCTCGGCACGCCAGGGGGGAGCCCCAGGTGCTTCTGCGCCCGAGAGCTGGAGGAGAAGCAGCAGCGCAAGCGGAAGCGGGCATCTGACCCGCTGGTGCAAGGTACCGCAGAAGCGCGGGGCGCGGCCCAGGGGGCGGGCCGGGGCGGGGCCTCCGCAAGCCCAGGACCAATGGGTGTGGCAGATAAGGAGGAGGGCGAGCACGGGGCGGGGCCTTGGGCGGGGAGGACCAATGGGCGGAGAGGATGAGAAGGCTGGGGCTTAGGCGGGGCGCCGGGAGAGGGGACGGGCCAAGGAGGAATCCAGTCGCCCCGCCCGGGTCTGGGCTGCAGTGGAGACGAACCTGGGAAACCCGAGTCTGCAGGTGGATGGGGATGTGGCTGACCTGGCAGGCTGATGGCCAAGCGTGAGGCCATGATGTTGCGGGGCCTGGACAGACGGAGAGAGGAACGGAAAGGAAGCGGGAGTCGAGGACGGAGGCTGGGACGGCCCAGGGGAGGAGCTGGGGAGGACGATGCCCACAGCTCACCTCCGGAGCTCCACTGGCTGGTCGTTTGGGGAATGGATGCCTTCCTGATTCGGAAGTCCAGCAGCTTGAGCCCCGGCCCTTCCTTACTGGTGACCAGCCGCTGGTCCCTTCACCTCTGGAACTCGGTTTCCTTATTGTCAAAGGGACTGATTCTAGGGCTACGAAGGAGTTGGCAGGACAAGGCACAGATCGCCATCGTCACCTTCATCATCACTGTCGCGCGCTCAGGTGGCCTGCTTCTTCCCCCTCGCCCTGCTGTCAATCCTCAGATGGGCGTGCAGAGTGCCTGCTCCTGGGGCTGGGCCCGCACAAATGTTTGCTGAAGGTGGGGCTTGGGCTCCAGTTCCCCATAAAGCTCAGGGGCTGCAGCCCATCTCCAGGTGATGATTTCCTCTTCTGGCCAAGGGCCAGGAGTCCCCCGACTTCCTAGGACTGAGCTTTTCTAAAGCCTAGGCTAATATCCTGCACTAGGGCTATACAGTCCTGAGGTTTGCCCAGGCAGGCAGACAATGGCGTTGGGAGCTGTCCTCCCAGCCGTGAGGGGCCACGGATCTTGGACGAGCCCATAGTCCAGTGGCCGGATAGGCAGGTTAGGCAACTCCCCCCCCCACCCCGGTCTCCACCTGAGCTGACGGCCCCATGTGGCTGAAGCTGAGAAGGTCAAGAAGGTGACATTCTATCCTCACTTGCAGCCATCAGAGTTCAGGGGTCCTAGTGCACAGGGAGCTGGCTGCTAACTCAAATGCACCCCACTCTGGCTCAAATTCACCAGCGGTTCCTTGGGAGAAAGGTGAACCATCTCCTGTGCTGTTTACAGCCTCAGAAACGCATTGGAGGGTCAGCTATGAGTGGATTCCAACTGGGTGGCAATGAGCTGACCTAGCCAGGTCAGGGATCAGCTGGCAGGCTTTGAGGGTTAGCTGCAGGAAGTTGCCAGAGGTGCCAGCCGCCCAGACCTCCCAGCCTGACCTCAGCTCCACCTCCCACAGCCACCAAGAAGTTCCGAGGGAGACGGAGACCGAGGGAGCCCCTGGTGGTGGCTGAGAGGCCTGGTAGTCCGCAGGATGCTGAGGACAGCAGCACCCAGCCCAGCAGCCAGGACTGAGAGGGGACCTAGGCAAGCCAGGCCACGGGGAAGAGCCAGAAGCAGGAAGGCGGTGTCAGGACAGGCCCAGCCACCCCCAAGTAAGAGGATGGCTGAGTGCATGGGGGCTGGATTCATGGCCCAAAAGACCAAGAATGGACCTCCTCCGTCCCCATTCGTCTTGGACATGCCCACTGACCCAGCTGCCCCACCATTACATCAGCATGTGCTCCTTGCGGGGTTGGGAGAAGGGAGGACAACCCCTCTGGCATTGTGTCCCCCTCAGTTGCCCACCCTGGAGACCTCTCCCTCCTCCAATGACTTGGACCAAGTTTTGGGTGGTCTCTGGCGCCCCCTCGTGGAGCCCCCACAAACGTCTCTGGTGGCGGCGTCCAGACTCCAGCAGCGGCCGCAGCATCCAGACCAGAGGTCCTTGCAAGAAGACAGGGACACACACAACCAGTTGTGGAAAGTTGCAGGGTCCTGAAAGAGCTGGCATAAAGCCTCGTCCCTCACCAGCACGGCCCCCAGCTGCCAGACTGGACTCACGTCCCTCCATTCACAGGGCAGTTCGCCCACCAGGTTCGCCTGCTGCACGCACACACAAACCCCCAGGCATTCAAGGTTGACATCTTTTTTGGCTTATTCTGGAATCAAATAAATGTCAAACTGGTGCCGTCCACATCCCTGCCGCTGCCCACCCACCCTTCACACCCATCTGGCGGGGAGGGAGTGGTAGCTGTACTAAGTGACACCTGAAAGACCCCTTCTGGTGCCCACAGGCCAGATCAGTGAGAACACTCACCATGTAGGCTGTGTCTGGTAACAGTGGTCTAGCCAGATGACCCCAGTGAAAGGGACAAGGGTCCAGCTTGCCACCTAGTGAGCTGGGCCTGCTGGCTGCCCAGGACTGAGAGGGTTCATCAGCATGGTGCCTGTTATAGTGTCCCCAGTGGATATACCCCCGTTTCTGTTGGCTTTAGCCATTAATCGTTGCCATCTTTGATCCTCCATGGTGTGAGAAGGCCCTTCCATCCTGCAAGCAAGGCATTGTCCATGGGGCCTAGAAGGTGTGTCTGTTGTGTCATTCCCACTGTATAGACAAGGAAAAGGAGACTCCGAAAATTCCAGCAGCTCATCCAAACTTTCACAGTGAGAACTCATTTCAGATTTGAACCCGAATCAACTCCTCGGCAGCCCTGTGAGAGGGAGCCGGAGTCCTGGACCAGGGCAGACATGGCTTACATCCACACTTGACAAAAGATCTGACCTTTCCGCCCACCCAACCCAGGCACAGTCAGGAGCCACATGCCGCTCAACTACCAGATAAGAGCGTCAGTGTCCTCGGCCGCAGGTTTCGCAGTGGAGACTCGAACCCGTGGCGCAAAGGCCGGGCGAACGCCTCTACTCCCTCGGGACGCCCCCTCCAAACTGTCTCTAGGACCCAGGGGAGCCATCCCCGGCACGGCAGCCCACCCACAGCGCCCGGCTGGCCAATCGGTGGGCGCGGCGGCAGTATATTTGCATGTCGGCGCGCCTTAGCCAATGAGCGGCGGGCGAGGGCGCGCCCGCCCGGCTGCGGCGGCTCAGTTGGAGGATGGCGGCGGCCGCGGTGGGTG